ATTGAATAATTAAATATTAAGATATAACGTGATTTTGTCGTATCGAGATATAATATAATTTTATTCAATAAACACGTATGTGAATTTATTACGTTTTCTGTTTAATTTGCATCGCAATAATTGTTTTTGTTGCGCGAGCTATAATTTTATTAAATTTTACAAAGTGATTGAGAAACATATGAAATAAATTAGAGTTAGATAAAGAAATGATAAGATTCAGTTACTTGTAGTAATTGTAAATATTGCGATACAAATAAAATATCGTCTTCAAAGGAACAATTTAACATGTTCATAAAGTTGAACCTAACCTAAATCCATCATCTTCACGTACCATTTGTTTTTTCGAAGAGTTATGTATTTTGAATCAATTACTTTATAATTAAATGAGGCAAATTCAATGATTTTTTTTTCTTTTAAATTCTTTTTTTTTTCTTGTTTTCATATTCGTTGTTCAAGTCGATGGATCAAAGAGGAGGAAGGATGAATTAAGAAAGAAAGGTCAAAAATAGTTTTTCACACAATTTATTTATTGGATAATTACATTACACGTTGAATACAAAGTAAAACATACACTCGACGTTCGAACGTAAAAATCAAAACACGAAAACACTACTTAAGACGATTACATAGATGAAGAGAGCAAGCCTAAAAAATTACGAATAAAAGTGCGCAAACCGAGAAAACTAAAGCGACAAAAAGAAAAAAAGGAGAAGAAATAGGAAAACTTACGAGTACGAAAATTTCTCGAGTAAAACCAAGAGAAGAAGAGAGAACAATTTCGACACACAAGTTTCAATTTGGCAGATCTCGATCGATTCTGCTTGGACAAAGTATACAAATATCACAAGATATCGCTCGAGCTGAGATTCCATTGATTCTAATCTAACTTATACGAACTATCGTAAGTCTATGTCGTCTACAAATAATTATCACAGTTTTGATTTTTAATAGTCTCTAAAGCAAAGGTATTACTTTCTTTTTTTTTTTACAGACTAATATTGCAATTTTCCGGAAGACACATAGTGAGATCACGTTACAATTCGATCGTGTTGCAATTCGTTGCGATAATCCCGCCTCATTCCCCTTAAAGCACTTTCTATCACAGTTTCCTTAACTTACAAGCTATCCTAATACGACTATTTATTTATTAGTCTCTAGTATCACAGTTTTCTGGAAGCATGTTTTTCAAAATTTATCACAGACTCGACGAATATAATAATAGAAAGTTGTTTTCTCTGTCACGTATCACAGTATCTGAGATTATAAAATATGCACTGGGCGGCCTGTGTTCTCGAGCAATATTCGAGCAATTACATCTACCGTGTGTCTATATATTTTTAACTCTAGTTTAAGTTAGTCCAGCAACATTGTCTAACTTAAGAGATCCTTAAAATTATTATTGCAGCTACTGTTCTCCTAAATTCTACGCATCTTACATACTAACGCATCTATATTTATCTATCTGCCGTTGTGAATGAATATATCAATTAAAGCTCCGAACCAGGAGTTATCAAACGAATCTGCTACCCTTAACCACTAACGAAAGACGTTGAAAACTTAAACGGAAATTACAGCTAAAAATTCCGCGAAGTACAATGAAAGACCTTACTAAGTGATATTTATCGATCGTCGATCTGCTTGGCCATCTTGAGAGCTCGAATCGTCCGTGAAAACGAAGTGGCCACCTCCGTAACGGGACTGCAACTCGGGCTCTCAACGGTTGTTCGTTTTCATCGCCAGCTCCCTCAGCTCGTTTTCCAGGTTTTCGTTCCTCGAGTTGCGCAGCTCGTCGTCGTCCACTGGCACGCTGAACGCTGTCAGCCCGATCTCGTTAACGATCCGATGCTGCCAGTCGACGTTCCTGTTCCCATTCCCGTGAATGACTTCTCCTCCGCGCAGTTTGCCGTAAAATCTTCGAACGATCGACAGAGCGTTCTTGATGGCCCGTCTGGCGAGCAGCCCACCGTCAATACGTCGATCAGTCATCGAACTGACGATCGCTCTTGAGATTCGCCTCTTCATGGTGGCGCTGACCGAGTGCAGGAGAGAACCGGTCGCGATCTCGCGATGTGTTCCGAACCACAGACTGCCCGTGGACTCTCGGCTGTGTTCTTCTGGAGAGATCGATGATCTCCACCGATGTCGAGACTGTGTACGCTGCTTCGTGCACGTCACTTGGTGAACCTCTGTGCGTTGGACGGCGCGCTCTGTTCGTCGTATGCGTGTACACGATAGAGGAATATGTATCTCGGCCGGGTTTCGGGTTTCTTTTGCCAGTAAGAAAGAGAAAAGGGAAATGGGGTGGGAGAAGGAGGAGAAGGAGGAGGAAGAGAGTGCAAGGAAGGAGAAATGGTACACGTGCACGCAATCTCACGAATCTTTCTCTCTTTCTCTCTTGGTGGATACGATCCACCTTACTATCCTTGGAGATGCGCGCGTTTTGAGTAGGTGTGATTGAGTGTGAGCTAGGGTGAGGAGTCTCCCTCTTATATAGGAGAAGGGCTGCGCATGCGCGGCGTCAAAGTCGAAACAGGGCAGCCGAGGGTGGAGACAGCGCGTCTTTTCGCACAGGTACGTGCGTAAGTCCGACTGCGCAGAAGGGCAGGTACTTTCCACCCCTTCGTTATTGTTCGCGTCGTCCACCCTCTTGCTGCGGAGCGCGAGCAACCGGCGGACCGTTGTGTAATTTACATTTCACGTGTTACCGCGCGGGAATGTTTCTCTGTGAGAATTTTCACATTCTAATACCCCTTTACTTTAGCTCTCATTGTTTTGGGCTTGACGGATGCAACTAATTGTATGAATAATTGCAGACAGGAATAACTTCCTGGTGTCTGTTGTTATATGTTAATTTTCGTGTTGTCCGTTTCCGATTGTAACTCGCATTATAATTTGAGAGAGCAGGCTTAGGTTATTTGCAACACTTGCATCACGAAATTGGAAAGTATATTAGCATATTTAACATGCTATGTGCGAGAAATTAACTACTAGATTACGCATTAAAGAATTAATGTTTCCCGTAAATGGCAATGGCGCGTCGTTGTTTAAATAAACAAGTTCGCCATATTTGTTAGTACTCGATCAGTCATCGAACTCCCTGCTTCTCGATCAGTAACGAAAGCGTGAAAGTAAAAAAAAAAAAAAAAAAAAAAAA